GATCAGCTCAGATCCATGGGTTCTCTGAGCCTCAGTTTCCCCCCTAGGGAGGTAAGAGCAGAGGCTGTGCATGGGGCGAGCCTCCCATCTCCCTGTCCCAGCTCCTCGTTACACTTCATTCATTCCTAAGACCCCAGAGTGAACATGTCTTCTTCTTCCTCGGCCTTTGGTGGGAAAAGGAACTTTTCAAAACAGCCCGCCTCCCCTCGGGTCCTGTCCCGAGACCCCAGAAAGCTGAATGCTCCCCGGCTTCCTCCTGCCGTGGGCAAGGAGTCAGAGGAGAGAGAGAGGACGGGAGGACAAGGTGCCACTGTGCTTCCTGGGTCCCAGACGGATCCTGACTGCACCTTCCAGGTCACCTTCAGAGCCGGGACAAATAAACCCTTCACCCGAGTATTACCAGAGTGAGGCGGAGGCTTATGATACGCCAGGAAAATGTCATCCCTTCCCACTAAGAAGCTCAACCCTAGTAAACACACATCGGCCTCCCAAGCGACGAGTGTTTATGTAACAGCCGCAACCCGGGTCTGCTGGGCCCTGGCAGGGGGGGCTCGGTCAGGCTCAGAGCGAGCAGGGAAACGCCCGAGACGCTGCTCCCCTCCCTCTGCCAAGAGAGAAAGTGGGGACGCTGCTTTGCAGGACAGCAGCAATATGGTTGCGCAGATGGAGAGAGAAAGGATATAGGGCAGAAATTGGAAAAGGAGTTTTCTGGGTTTTTTTTTTTTTTGATGCCTGCCTACAGCAGAAAAGCTGGGGCGACAGAGGTGGGAAAGCAGGGGTGAGGTGGGTAATAAAAACGGGTTCCGGGAGAGGCTGGAAGTAAAGGGGGAGAAGGAAGAAGGAGGTGGGAGGCCTTGCCAAGAAAGAACAGGGAAGCAAGGATCAGGAGAGCTGAGAACGGATGTGTGAGGAGCAGCTGGGCCTGGTGACAATGAGACATTAGGTCCCAGGATTCACAAGGGTGACACCAAGCTCCCAGGCTACACAGACGGAACATGGGGTACTTCCAAACCACAGTGGGGAAGTTGGTCACAGGGAAGGGCTCTAAGAAGGGAAATCTGACTACTGTGTTAAATTTAAGCCGGGGGGGCGGGGGCGGCGCGGGGATAATGGGGACCCAAGTGTGTCCAGCAATCATGGCCTTCACATTACAGGAGATGCGTGGCCACAGACACCCTGAGCTGGGGGCAGTGGTTGTGGGGGGGGGGATCACTGATAAAGAAAGCGGGAGTTAGACGTGAAAGCCTCCGATTCTTGCCTCTTCCTGCTCTGGGAAGGGCTCTGTGGCACGTCTTCTCTCACCCCTATTGTGGCTGTCCCACCAAGTCTCTACACTAAAAGGTGTGGGGGGGCTGTATATGGGGGGATCTGGAGCTTACTGGGAAGTTCTCTTACTCCCTCCAAAGGAGGGGGAGGCTGCAGGGAATGGCGGCTCTCTCCCCTCCCCCCTTCAGCTCTGGGAAGAAAAACTGGTCATCTCTCTTTGGGGCGCACACAAACGCCATCTCCAGGTCCCCAGCCACAATGGTGATTCAGGCCATTTACTCAGATCCACGTTAATGAGTTTTTTTTCTGTCACCTAATTAGTTCACAGTGAACTCAGCCTTAGGAGGGGAGGTGAGCCAGAAGGGCCGGGCAATAACAGCAGGGAGTCAGGCTGGGATGTCACAACAATACGCAGGACCCCAACTCCAATGGGGTCTTCTACTCCCAGAAGGCTCCTTCCCCGGCCATGGGGACCTCTGAAAGCAGAAAGGGAGTGCTTAGGTGAAGGAGCCCCCAAAGCCTCACACAGGGACCCCAAAGCCTCGCATGGGGAGATGGAGATGGGAGTGGGGCCCTCATTGGGAGGCCCAAGTAGTGGACAGACCCCTGCTGCCGATTCCGTGACATCCGCCAAAGGCCTTGCACCGTCCCTACATTTCCACTAAGGCGAAACCCACCACCTGCTGGTGGGCGTCCCCCCTTCAAATGGAACCCAGGAGGAAGCAGATGGCCCAGGGCGAGGCCCATCTGCCCACTGGGCACTCAAAGGTCACCATGCCGCTGGGGTGCCGGCCCCCACCAAGCCAGCGGTGGTAGGGCATCTGCCAGCTGTGCGCACCCACTTCCTCTGCCTCTCAGCAGCTTAAGTCCAGGGCCCAAGAGCCTAGAGAAAAGAGCGCTGGGAAGCGCAGTGGCCCGGGGTTCTGGTCTTTTAGGTCTGGCCCCCGTGTCCCTGGAAGTTGGTCAGCACCCCACAGTCCCGTTCCTGCCTCCTGAGAGGCCCCCTGGAAAGCAGCGGCGGGTGTCTGGCGCGCGTGGGACCCGTGAAGGCGCGGATGAACTGACCGGCGCCTCCCACGCCGTCGCGCCGCCCGAGCCCCGAGCCAGGCCCGGCCCGGCGGTTCTGGTCTTTTAGGTCTGGCCCCCGTGTCCCTGGAAGTTGGTCAGCACCCCACAGTCCCGTTCCTGCCTCCTGAGAGGCCCCCTGGAAAGCAGCGGCGGGTGTCTGGCGCGCGTGGGACCCGTGAAGGCGCGGATGAACTGACCGGCGCCTCCCACGCCGTCGCGCCGCCCGAGCCCCGAGCCAGGCCCGGCCCGGCGCAGAGCCCGGGCAGCTACTGAGACGCCTCTCGGGCAGCGGCCCCACCTCTCCGCCCGCCGAGGCCCTCCGCCGCGCCCACCCTCCCTGGCCATGCCTGACCAGAGCTGCCTCACACCCCCGTAATATCTGCGGCTTCGAGCGCACCCGTTCCCGGGGCGACGCCACCTTCGAGCCCTGGAGCATTGAGAGCAGAAAACGTGTCCCCCGGCACGAGACCTGCCCCTCAGCCCCAAAGTGTCCCCAGACAAGATATGGCGAAGCCTGGACGCCGGCCCTGCAGCGCCGGTGTTCAGCACACCGCGTGGCCGGGACCTCAGGCGCGCGAGGACCCCCAACGGGGAGAGCGTGGCCAGGCCCGGCCCGCAGAGCCCCGGCTCCCGCAGCCCCCGGCTCGCTCACCCTCGATGGAGATGACGTGCTCCCGGATCTGGTTCTGCAGCGCCAAGTCCTCGATGCGCTCGATCAGGTCGTAGATGGCGTAGATATTGGGATGCACGGACTCGAAGCGCTGGATCTCGGCCCGGATGGCCGCCGAGTTGGAGAGCGCGAACTGCTGGGGGGGCCCGCCGGCCAGCTGCTGCGAGGGGCCGCCGCGCGCTCCAGCCGAGGCGCCCGGCCCCTCCCACCCAGCCTAGGCCCTTCCGCCTCCTCTCCAGCCCCCACCCACAACCGCCGCGGGGGCCACAGCTCCGGGGGGACAGCTGCCCTGACTTCCTCCGGCCCCGGCTGTCACTTTAGCCTCCCTGCGCTAGTCGCGGGCGGGGGGGCGGTGTCCGATCTCAGGGTAGTACCCGAACAGTGTCCTGCGCCTGAGGGTGCTGATGAACGCGGCTGATTGGCCGAGGAGGGCCGCCAGCCCAGGCCCAGCTGCGCCTCCTTTACATCGTCCTGACTTCAGTGCGACACTGGCTCCCTGGTCCCCCGCCCCCAGGTCATCCCTGGAGACTACCTCGTCCCCCGGGTTCTCTCTAGCTTTCCCCTGGACTCTCCACTAAGGGCTGCAGCACGGAGACTGGAAATCTGGGTCCCTGGCTTCTATTTTCAGTTCTCTCTCAGAGCTTCATTGGTGGGGCTCTTGGAAATGACACTTTAGACAACTCCCCCACTCCTATCTTCCAGTCTCTCCTTAAAGATTCCCTGCAGAACTGGGGAGGGTTAGCTGACCACCGAGAGACCCCGCTGGTGCGGAGAAGGGAGAGAGGAATCAAATATCAGGTCTCTCATCCCGTTCAAGAGACACCAGAGGCAACACGACTATTTTAATTTTCCCTGTCTCCACCCCTTTGTCCATCCTGTGTTCCTATCCACTCCTTCTGGGGCCAGGGAGCTCCCTTCACTGGCCCCGTCCCCTGCATTCGCATCGCCAAAGCTGTATGCAGTTCTGCTAGCGCTGCCCCCCCCCAACCTTTCCTAAAAACCACAAGAGGCCACACGTGCTGGGCACTGACCCAGCCAATCAGCCTGCTGGTTGGTGCTGCACCCACCTTGTCTTTTGGCACAGTTGACACATCATTCTTTTTACACAAACTTCCACTTCCTAGGCCAAGCTAGTTCACAGTGAACATTTTTTCCCAGCATAAAGGTCCCCCCCCACCCCGCTTGACTACCCACACGGCTCTGCCCCAGTACCGACCCAGTCACCATTTCTAAGTTTCTTGTCCCTTCCAAAGAACTCAGTGCAGCCAATCAACACAGGGCCTCCCCAACTCCTGAGAAATGCGAGTTCTATCTACCTATAAGGATGTCTTATAGCCTTCTTGGGCTTCATCTGCAAAATACGGTGGTTTAACAGAACACTGAGCTCTGACATTCTGTAACTCTGAAAGCAATGCCTAACATCTCATTTAGATGCTTAATTAGAATCGACAGCAAGAAGTCGCACCAGGTACCTTCCAGGAGAGATGCTGAGGGTTAAAATCTTCTCAAATGTTTTGCCCCGGCAGCCAGCACACACCTGCAGTAGCACTGGTGGGCTGTCTATTTGTCTGTCTCTAGTAGGATACAGGCCCCATGAAGGTAGGGGCAGGGTCTGATTCACCACTGTATTCCCAGCATCTTACACAACGCCTGGCATAGAGTATACATTTAATACATGTTTCTAGAGTAAATGAATAATGGAAAGGAAGGAACTAGAGGTAGGTTAGTTTTTTATGTTATAAATCTAAACTGACATTCCCAAGGCAGCACTTGGAGTACTTGCTCCCACAGGTAGGCATGTGCTATAAGAACATGAGGGTACATGACTTTTGATCAAGACTGTCCCATTAAATCCAGGATGTGAGATCTCTGTGGCTATAGGAGCCCAGAGGAAGGAGGGAAAACCCGCAGAAATTAGCTGGTCTAGGCCAGGCTGAGGCTCAAATTGACATCTGCTGTGTAGTCCACACAATAACATGCTAAGGACCCAACTTCCAGGCCCAGGTTCAAGTGGAGGGACTGTAGTAATTCTAGGTGAGCAAATAAAATATCTCCTGTGTGACAGATTCCTTACATAGTTTTCACACTTAACAGAACACTTAATTTTTTCCTTATAATCGCCTTATGGGGGAGATCTTAGGAACGAAGAAATTCAGGTTCAAAGAGATGCAATAAACGCACCTAAAGCCATTGAGAGATAAGGGATCCGCATTCGTGTCTAGTTCCACAGTCCATGCTTCGTTCACAGTCTTGCAGGGTTAAGAAAGACGGAACTAGTGAAACAGGACAGCCCAAACAGCGTGGCCAGCCCTGGGGACAGGTGTATTCAGCCAGACTGGTGGGGCAGCCCGTGGTTACTCGGTTCTGGGCTGAAGAGTGAATCTGGGGGTTCCAAAGTGCCTTCTGGCGTTCACGCTGGTATAAATAAGAGTGAGTAGGGGCACTTGAGCTCACCAGAGCCTGCATCTAGAAACACGGGCGCTCTGACGTGCTCCCGCTGACGTGGGTTTCTGCAGTCACAGATGCTCCGGCTCCCGGCTTGGACGGGGAGGATCTTGCCTCCGCCCAGACCTTCGGGAGCTACTGCAACTCCCAAGTCCGCCCCGCCAGCCTCTTGGCGTCTTGAGGGCACCTGAACTAGTCCGCGGAGCCCCGCACGTGGGTCCGCAGAGCGGAGGGCGGGACTGCGCACCGCCAGGACTACAAGTCCCACAATGCTCCGGACGGCGGCGGCGGAGAAGGAGGGGGTACCTTCAGGTGTCTGCGACCTCGGCGCCTCCCGCCCGGAAGTGCCCGAGGGTCCGCTATGGAGCTGGCGGAGCCCGGCGGTGAGTCCCTGCGCCGTGACTGCGCCTACCTGGTCGCCCCGGGCCCAGCTGGCACCCGCTCGCCCCGTCCCTGGACCGCCTGTGCGGTCTCAAGGCTCAGGGGTCGGGAAAATGGGAGGAGTGATGGAGGAGTTGGGGGTGGGGAGGGCGAAGCCTCAGATTCCCGGGCGGGATCTGGGGTCCAGCAGGGGACTGGGTTTGGGGAGGCTTCCAGAGGAGGCGTGGAGTCGGGCCGCCGCGGGGTGGGACTTCGAGTGGAACGGGAGGGGCTATTAGGTGGGAGGTGGCCACCCTCGGAAGCTCCAGATTGCCAAAGGGCGGAGTTCGACGTTTGGTGTGGGGAAGCCTTGGGGAAGCAGTCCCGTGCGAGCGGGTGGGGTTTGGATAAATGGCAGCGGGCGTGGGGTGTGGGGGTGTGTGGCCAGAGGCCCTTTTTTTTACACCTTGGAGAAACTTTAGTGATAGAGTAGACAAGCTTGGGGTAGATAAGTAGCTTTGGGGTGAAATAGGCGAAGGAGTAGATGAACTTTGAGATGAAGTAGACGGAAAACTAGGTAAGCTTTGGGGTAAAATTTGGAAAGGGGTAAATTTAGGGGAGAGGTTGCTTAGAAGATCAAGGCTCTCTTATCTCGGGATACGGTTTAGTGAATTTGGGAGCTGGTTAAAGACCTAAAACTCAGGTTACAAAAAGTTAGCACTTGGAATTTGGTGATAGAAAGGGGCACACGAGGTTACGTTTGGGGCCAGGAGGAGTCAGAGCAGTCTGCTAGGGGTGGGGCCCCGGTAAGGGGGCAGAGAAGTGAGGACTGTGGGACAGTTGGAGGGGGCGGTCTGGAACCTGTTGGAATTCAGAGAACGTGGCCAGTGAGCCAGCCCCTCAACCCCTCATGGGTTCTTTGTGCCTCTCCAGCTTGGTAGCGCGGCGGGCAAGGCGGGTGCCATGGCCCTGATTGAAGGGGTGGGTGATGAGGTGACCATCCTTTTCGCGGTACTTGCCTGCCTTGTGGTGCTGGCTCTCGCCTGGGTCTCAACACACACCTCGGAGGGCGCCGATCCACCGGCCCAGCCATCAGGGACCCCAACACCAGCACAGCCCAGCGAAGCCATGGCGGTCATCGATAACATCAGAGGGGAGGCCCCGGGAGCCGAGACCCCCAGCCTGAGACACAGAGGTCAGGCTGCACAACCAGAGCCTGGCACAGGGCTCCCAGCGACGCCACCACCCCCAGACTCTCCCCAGGAGCCCCTAGTACTGCGGCTGAAATTCCTCAACGATTCAGAGCAGGTGGCCAGGGCCTGGCCCCATGAGACCATTGGCTCCCTGAAAAGGTAAGCTGGGACCAGGACAGGAATGAGATGCTGGAGTGTTGTGAGGGAGTGATCACAGACCTGGAAGGGCCACCAGAGACGCCTGACACTTCCCCCTCATTTTATAGATGAGGGAACTTAGATGCCCCACCCACACACTGTAACTGCCCCTTCTAGCAGTAGGGTACCCCAGTGGAGGCCATGGCATGGATGCTGGGTGGACGGAGGGCAGAGGTGAAGGGTGAGAGTGTTGTCTCGGGCAAGGGACTAGGGTTGCCTGAGGCCTGCTCTATTACCCAGGTCCCTCTCTCCTCAGGACCCAGTTTCCCGGCCGGGAGCAGCAGGTACGACTCATCTACCAAGGGCAACTGCTGGGAGACGACACCCAGACCCTGGGCAGCCTTCACCTGCCTCCCAACTGCGTTCTCCACTGCCACGTGTCCACACGGGTCGGTCCCCCACACCCTCCATGCCCACCGGGGTCAGAGCCAGGCCCCTCCGGGCTGGAAATAGGCAGCCTGCTGCTGCCCCTGCTGCTTCTGCTGCTGCTGCTGCTCTGGTACTGCCAGATCCAATACCGACCCTTCTTCCCCCTGACTGCCACTCTGGGTCTGGCCGGCTTCACCCTGCTTCTCAGTCTCCTGGCCTTTGCCATGTACCGCCCGTAGTGCCTCCACGGGCTCTCAGCAGTGTGGCTGGCCCCGCTGGACCTCGCTCCTCACAACACGGTGGGAGCTGCTGTCTGCCCAGACCCACCGCTCCAGCCTGCCTCTTCCCACTACCCTGGAGCCCAGCCCTGCGTCGCAGGGCATTCCAGGGGAAGGGGAAGGCTCCTCCCTGTGACCTCCATGGCTCTGAGCCACCTCCCCCAGCTGTTGGCTCTCAGCCCCCACTGACAGCCGGGTCCTCCGGGTCAGGCAGCTGCTGTACCTGCCTTGGCCCTGGGCAGAGTGGGACCACACCCCTGGCCCGGCTTAGTGCTCTGCCTGAGGACCCAGCCACCTCTAGTCCCTAATTGCTCCTTGTGCTGATTTGGGGACCCAAGGACCTTGAGGGGACTGAAGGGGCGGAGGAAATTCTCTGGAACATGTGCAGATTAAATTACTGTGAAGTTTTCACTCTCGGTGTGTGTCTGAGTGTGTGGGGGGCGGGGCTCGGGAGCCCTTGCCCACCGGGAGAGCGGGAGTGCCCGGCCCTCCCAGGACGGCCGCAGACTGCCTTCACCTTTCCGCCACAGCGTCGTAGCCTGGCCCCTCGGTCCCGCGGCCCCACCCCCTGCCCCTCGGCGCCTCCGCCCCAGCGCCGCGCGCACGGCTCCCGGAAGCTGGGGGCGGGGCTTGCGGGGCCCCGGCGCGCAGGGCCTGACGGGAGCCACGTCTTGCTGGCCAAGGACTGAGCGGCGATTGGCATCCGGGGGCTGCTGGGAAGATGGCGGACTCTGTGGCCCGCCGATGAGGAGGCCGCGGGGGGAACCCGGCTCCCGGGCCCCGAGACCGACTGAGGGAGCGACCTGCGCGGGGCCTGGGGAGTCATGTAGGGGGGGCGCCTGCGGGGCGGGCCGCGGGAGGGCGGTGGGAAGCTGGTGTCGGCGACCGTGATCACGGTCTCTTGGCGTCCTCGGGCTGGGTGGGTGTGGGGCCCCTGACACCGCCGACTCCGCGCCATTGCAAACCTGCGCACTCGGGCTCCACGGGCGCCCCCCGAGGTGGGCGCTGTGTTCTCGTTTCACAGGCGAGGAGGCTTAGGCAGAGAGACGAAGCCACTTGTCCAAGGTCACCCAGCTGGTAAGTGGGAGCGCCCAGCATGGAACCCAGGACCGCGTTCCACCCTCCGTGCCGCCGCCGCCTCCTGCGGGAGGGGGAGGTGGTCGGGAGGGCGTATCGCCGGGGCGAGCTGGACTCTTGGCTGGGCGCGACCACTAGCCAGATTCGTGACCTCGGGCTTGACTTAACCCTGCTTCGCCTCTCTGGGCCTTGGTTTCTCCACCTATGAAATCGAGGTAATGCCAGCCCTGCCTACCTCCCCATAGGCGTGTAAAGGGAGGATCAGTGGAGATAATGCATGTGAAATTGCTTTGTAAATACCCCTGCGCTGAGAACACTGAAGGATTCTGATTGCTGTTTCAAAGAATGGGAAGAAACAGAGGGCCGGGTGGGGCAGAGGACCAGAGCAGCCACAAAGAAGGGTGAACATGAGTCGGGGTTGCTCTGACCCAGGTCCCTCTGGATGGGGAGTGAGGTGAGGAGTAGATAGCCGGCTTTTCTCCTGTTTGGAGAAAACCTCACCCCCTTTTCTGGGCCACCCCTCAGGGTCTCCATCACCCAGCTCCATGCTTCGAGTCCTGCTCTCTGCCCAGGCCTCTGCTGCTCGGCTGTCTGGCCTGCTGCTGCTCCCGCCAATACAGACCTGTTGTCTGGGGCCCAGCAAGTGGGGGGACGGGCCTTCTAGAGGAGGCCCCCATGCAGGCCCTGTGCAGGGGCTGCAGCGGCTTCTGGAGCAGGCGAAGAGCCCTGGGGAGCTGCTGCGCTGGCTGGGCCAGAACCCTACCAAGGTGCGCACTCACCACTACCCTGTGGCGCTTCGTCGTCTGGGCCAGCTCTTGGGGTCTCGCCCACAACCCCCTCCTGTGGAGCAGGCCACACTGCAGGACTTGAGTCAGCTCATCATCCGAAACTGCCCCTCCTTTGACATTCACACCATCCACGTGTGTCTGCACCTTGCAGCCTTACTTGGTGAGGAGGGTGTGCGTAGGGGGGTGGGTGTTAATGGAAGGATAGAGAAAGCCAAGGATAGAGTAGAAGACCCAAGATCACTGGCAGAGTCCACCTCTTAGGCCTTGCCAGGAATGGCACGCACCCCAGCACGTTGACTGCTGCTCCCCCACATCCACAGCAGAAGGCAAGAGTTAAGCAGCGTCTGTTTTGGCTTAGCTAGGGTGGTACCCCAGATTCGTTCTGCTACAATGCTCTAAGAGCCACTGTGATTCGTCACCATTAGCACTAGGTGAGAACTTACTTGCCATCTTTGTATAAGGCGTTTCCCAGCTGGCGGTACTGATCCTTTAGTTCACACGGTATTTCACATTTGTCCAGTGTTTCCACTTATATTATAGCAAAACTTTGGGCCCAGAAAACATGAGAGAGGTTGGGAATCCACTAACAACCCCAAGACTGGAGCAGAGCAGAGCAGAGCAGCTCCCTGTTACCAGGACCACCTCCTCTGACCTTCTTCCTCCCAGGATTCCCATCAGATGGGCCCCTCGTGTGTGCCCTGGAGCGGGAGCGAAGGTTCCGCCTCCCTCCGAAGCCACCTCCCCCTCTGCAACCTGTCCTTCGAGGTGGGCAAAGGTTGGAAGCTGCTCTGAGCTGCCCCCGCTTCCTGCGGCACCCACAGCAGCACCTCATCCGAAGCCTGGCAGGTGCTAAAGGGGGTTAAAGGCAGGTTGTGGGGCAGGAGCTGAGGAGGAGGCAGGTGGTGGTATCTGGGCTAAGGCGGGCACTAGTCTGGAGGTCTGGCCCGAAGGTCCAGTGTGATAGGCTGCTCTTCACAGAGGCCAGGCCAGAGGAACTGACCCCCCACGTGATGGTGCTCCTGGCCCAGCACCTAGCAAGGCATCGGTTGCGGGAGCCCCAGCTTCTGGAAGCCATTGCTCACTTCCTGGTGGTCCAGGAAGCCCAGCTCAGCAGCAAGGTGGGGTTGCTTCCCTCCCTCCCATGATCCTCAGCCACCCTGTCTGGCCCAGCCCCCTGTCCAGTTTGGTTGGCTGCTGCGTCCTACCGCCCAGCTCAGCTCTGTTCCCCAGGGTCCCATCTTTGCCTCACCCTCTTCAGCTTGTCCACCTCCCAGTCACGTGGCTGGCTTTCTGTAGCCCTCCAAGGACTCTTGGCACTGTCCGATGCCATTCCTCTAAGCCTTCAAGGCCAGGTCTCACAGTGATGTCTCCGCTCACTTGGTGATTAACTGCATGGGGCTCAAGACACTGCTTATGCCATGTCATGCCGTGAAATTCCGGTGTGTGTGCCGGGTAGAGGGGTTGTTCTGCCTTTGCAGTGACGTTTTAAGCTTCCAGGCCAAGCCTCTCTGAGGCTCAGCTTGTCAAATGTTTTGGAGAACTGTTTTGCGCCTGGTGATGGCTGCTCTCCTCCTGCAGGTGGTACAGAAGTTGGTCCTGCCCTTTGGGCGGCTGAACTACTTGCCCCTGGAACAACAGTTTATGCCCTGCCTTGAGAGGATCCTGGCTCGGGAAGCAGGGGTGGCCCCGCTGGCCACCGTCAACATCTTGATGTCACTGTGCCAGCTGCGGTGTCTGCCCTTCCGAGCTCTGCACTTTGTCTTTTCTCCAGGTTTCATCAGCCACATCAGTGGTGCGCAGACAGGAAGGGCTGGCTGGGGGGACCAGTGGGCAGCAGGCAGGGGAGAACGGGGTGGTGTCCGCAGCCCAGCGAGCCTCAGTCTCGCTCGCCCACAGGCACCCCTCACGCCCTGATTGTACGGCGCTACCTCTCACTGCTGGACACGGCTGTGGAGCTGGAGCTCCCAGGATACCGGGGTCCCCGCCTCCCCCGAAGGCAGCAAGTGCCCATCTTCCCCCAGCCACTCATAACCGACCGTGCCCGCTGCAAGTACAGGTGAGTGGGGCGGCTTGGGGAGGGGAGAGGACCAGCCCCAAAGCAGCAGAGCGGAAAAGCCAGGGAAGCATGAACTGTCCGGGTCGAGGCTCTCTCCGGAGTCTTAAGGAAACGGGCCTCGAGGCAACGAAGGCATGAGCCCAGGGCTACGGAGCTGTAGGGGACACAGCCAGGAGGCTCCTGAGGCCTTCCTGCCATCAGTGTCCCTCTCCCTTCTCAGCCACAAGGATATAGTAGCAGAGGGGCTGCGCCAGTTGCTGGGGGAAGAGAAGTACCGCCAGGACCTGACGGTGCCTCCAGGCTACTGCACAGGTGAGCACCCGCGGGGCAGGCCTTGGGCTGGGGTCGTGGAGCCTTGGCTCGAAACCAATGGCCTTTCTCTTCCCCGCCCCAGACTTCCTGCTGTGTGTCAGCAGTTCTGGTGCTGTGCTTCCCGTGAGGACCCAGGACCCCTTCCTACCATACCCCCCCAGGTCCCGTCCCCAGGGCCAGGCCGCATCTCAGCCCACTACCCAAGACCCCGCCCAAAGGTAAGGGAGGAGGGCGGGAGAGCCTCCCCTGCCTCCCGGGACCGCGGCCCTGAGCCACAGCCCACTCTCTCTCCAGGGTGGTGCTGGTGCTGCGGGAACGCTGGCACTTCTGCCGCGATGGCAGGGTGCTGCTGGGCTCGCGCGCACTGCGGGAGCGGCACCTGGGCCTCATGGGCTACCAGCTCCTGCCGGTGAGAGCCGCCCCTGCCCTGCCCCGCTGTGTCCCCACCCCCATCCCCGGGCCTCGTGGGTAACACGCTGCCCTCTCCCCTGCAGCTACCCTTCGAGGAACTGGAGTCACAAAGAGGCCTGCCCCAGCTCAAGAGCTACCTGAGGCAGAAGCTACAAGCCTTGGGTCTCCGCTGGGGGCCTGAAGGGGGGTGAGGGATGCACGTGGGGTTCAGGATGGCCCCCCTATGGGGGGTGGACAATTTGCACTTTGGCTCCCTGTTTCGGTTTCTCATTAAAGTCCCTTTCCTTCCCCATTGCACGTCTCGTTTCTGGGACGGGGAGTGGGCCGGGTCCCCCCCCACTTTTCCATTCATGCTCCCCATACAGACACAGACCAAGGTTAGGAGGGGGCTGAAGCACTTTACTGCGGGGGCGGGGGGCGGGGTAGGGGGACTTTAAATTATTCACTTAAAGTCCCTTTTTCCCCATTGCACGTCTCGTTTCTGGGACGGGGAGTGGGCCGGGTCCCCCCCCACTTTTCCATTCATGCTCCCCATACAGACACAGACCAAGGTTAGGAGGGGGCTGAAGCACTTTACTGCGGGGGCGGGGTAGGGGGACTTTAAATTATTCACTTAAATAAAAATGAGGAAGGGGTTGGGGCGAGCACCCCAGCCCTGGTTCCCTCTGTCCGTCAGTCCCTCGCCGTCTGTCCAGGCAGCAGCTACACGGGCATGGGCATCTCGTTGTACTCATCCACGCCCTCCCGCTCATCAAACACCGGCTCTGCCTCGTTAGCGTCCAGCTGCGGAGCAGGACAGAGTCAGGAGGGCTGACCCCAACCACGACCTTGGCGAGGACCAAGGGCAGGGCAGGGCTGGGGGAGGAAGGGCGGGAGGCCTTACGCATTTCATCTCTCGCTCGGTGAAGATGCGGGTGAGCACCACCATGCGGAGCGGCACTGTGAGGATGAGGATGAAGGGGAAGGCCAGGGAGGCAGCTGTGGACATGACCGCCCAGAGCAGGGCCAGGCAGAGCAGCTGCAGGGCTGTGAACAGGTGCATACGGAGGGTCCGGACCTGGGGGTGGGTAGGGTGGAATGAGCCAGGTGAGCCCAGGCTTCTCCCCAGCTGCCGAGGGCCCTGGTCCCCAGAGGGCCATCTGGCTCTGCCACATCCGGAGGACAGATGGCCCCTTTCGCCTCCACAGGGCTGGGGCTGGAAGTGCCCTCTTGGGCGCTCACCAGAGCTGGGTCTGCATAGACTGGAGGCTGGCCACCGTGGGCAGGCGGGGGGCTGGAGAATGACCCACGCAGCCCAGGAGTGGGCAAAGGCACAGAGCCCTTCGGGGCAGGGCCTCACCTTCTTGACATAGGTGACATCTGGGTGGTGTTTGGGCGGCATGAGCAGCAGGTGCAGCCGCTCATAGAACTGGATCCCGTTAAGGGACGTGACGCCCATGTACAGGAAAATCCCGAAGAGCACAGCCAGGGGTATCTGCCGGAGCAGGTCCCCGATAACCATGGAGAGGCCTGGGGAGGAGGGGGAGAAACAGGCAGCCTCAGGGCTCCCCGCCCCCAGTGGACCCCAGGCCCCTCTGGGACGGGTGGGGGCGAGAGGTGAACATACCCACAAGCAGGGCGACCAGCAGCCCCGTCACCCGCTGCTCCTTAACCTCCTGGATCTTGGGCTTGTCCCCAGGCGCCACAGCCTTGCTCATGACAGTGAGCGCGTTGGCGTGAGTGACGGAGCGGACGGTGGCGGCAGCCAACCAGGGCAGGCCAAAGAGGGCACAGATGCCGCCCATGGCCACGATGAGCAGCAGGTCCAGGTGGAAGCCGGAGCCCTTCTGCAGCATGCGCTCCTTCTTGGAGATGATGAGCCTGAGCGGGACAGGCGGACAGCCGCGTCTTTCCAGAGCGCCCAGCCAGTTGCCGCTGTTTTTGGAACCTGGCGGTCCCCGACCAATCCGTCCAGAGGAAAGTTCCACCACGGAGCTGAGCCCTCTCTGTGCCGCCCTCCCGCCCCCGGGACAGCTCCCAGCCTGAACTGGGCCCATCCCAGCAAATGCCAGTGGGGCTGTCTGCCGTCTACAAAACAATAGCGGCCAGCCTGGCATCCTGGGCTCCCGTCACCCCATTAATGCAGCTGTGTCCCCAGGCTGGCAGGAGTCCTGGCCCCTCCATCCACCAGGTGGTTCCTGACTGCACAGCACGCCCCCTCGGCTAGGACCACTCACGTGGTGATTTGCGTCTCCATGAAGATGAGGATGAAGACCAGGATGGCAGGGAGCAAGCTTGCCACCATCATCCACACGGGAAAGGAGCTGTTCTCCCCCAGGGGGTTAATGACCCAGCCCCGCTTTTCGGGGGCTGTCACCGAGAATCCACTGGGCACGCTCAGCTTCTGCAGGGCAGAGGGCGGGGCCAGGGATGGGTGAGGCTTGGCGGGAGAGCCCCAAGCTATGCTGGGCAGGGTGAGCACTGACGGGGTGCTGTGGAAAAGGCCAGGGTCTGCCCAGTTAAGAGGCGGCTTTGGGTCGGGGGCCAGAGAGGAGCATCCAGAGCCCAGTGCCAGGTGGCACCTCACTGCTGCATGTGCTGCACCTTACCTGGGTGTAGGTATCCTCAATACTGTAATCCACAAGCACCATGATGAGGATCGCAATGGGCACCCCAAAGTCCCCAATCACCCGCCGTACCTGTGGGCAAGTACCATGCTCAGAGGCCCCCTGCCCCGCTCCAGCCTTGACCGTGCGTCACCCCCTGCTGCCCCCAGCTCCCGTTTCCCTCCGGCCTCTAGCCCACACACCCGGCCAGGGAAGAACCGGCTGTTCTTGAATTTGCGCAGGAAGAAGGCGATGAAGAAAGTGCCCGCCATGAGCACCAGAGACAGGAGGGCCGTGTTGGGCTGGCCCCGGGGCCTCCCCTGCCCAGACGGCCCTGCTGAGCTCCCATTCCCCGGCCCCAGCGTGGCTCCTGCCCCAGCCCACGTGGTATTATCGCCGCCGTCTGCTTCACCGCCACTGTCTGCCTCGGAGCTGTTGGAGACCGAACAGCCGTGGAGGGGGTGTTCCTGGAAGATCTGGAAAGAGCACAAAGGACTCCGTCGGCTACACTGGCAAGGTTTCTGGCCTTAGCTGCATGCTGAGTGGAACAGGCGGGGTGGGGACGGCCAGCCTGCCCTCAAGGTACTTGTCTTGTCGATTGAGAAAATTACCCAGAAAACCAGACGTGAGTCCAGGACAACTAGGGATTAAGAGAGAGGCTGGTCTGCTTTAGGAAGGCAGCTGGGGAATGTGGTTCCAGCCAGGACTGGAGGAGCAGGATGTGGCATGTGGGGAGCAGGATGTGGAGTGCGGAGGACCCTGGGGGCACGTCTGCTCCTGGGCCTGTCACAGACGTGAGCCTGATGTGCTGGGACCGTGTTTGTCCACTCAGGGGCCTTTTTATTACCGCGTTTCTGGATTGTTTGCTGTTTTAACAAAAGTGTATTATCTTTGTGATTAAAAATATTTTTTTAAGATTGAAGTCCTGATGTGTGTTGGTAACCTGGTGGGGGGTGGGGCAGGAGGACGAATCAGCCCGTCCATGTTCTGTGGGCTCCATGGACTGCAGCCAGGGCATCTCAAGGCCAGCCTGGCCTCACACCCAGGAGAGAGAACGAGAGAGGGGCAGGACACCCCTGGCTCCCTCCAGTCCGAAAGCCTCGCCCCGCCCCGCCCGGCCCAGTTTTTGCCAGGCTTGCCCACCTTAATCAGCTTGTAGAAGGTCTCGTAGATGAAGATGAGGGAGATGAGGAAGGCAAAGATCTCCTGGGTGAATCGGGAGACAAAGCGCACCAGGAAGCTCCCCTCCAGGGCCACCATGAGCAGAGCGAGCAGCACCAGCCAGAAGCCAATCCACACGCGGCCCACCAGGTACTCCAGGTTGTTGCTGCTGCAGAACTGGGGGGGCGGAGCGGGACACGTCCCATCAGGTCCAGAGACCGGGGACCAACTGGGTGGGAGTGTTCGGGGAAGAGGAAGGACAGTCCCGAGTAGCCTGTGGACCCTCACCGAGAAGAAGGCCTCCTCGAAGACCAGCAGGGGCCCTGAGAAGCCGATCACCAGCAGCGGCTGGGCGCCCAGCAGGCAGAAGACCACGCCCTGGAGCGCCGTGGACATGATCAACTCCGACACCCCGATCAGGTCCTGCGTCTTCTCTCCTGGGGTGGCAGGAACCCGCTCAGGAGCTGACAGCCCCGGACCCTGTGGGCTCCCCGCCCCCACCTGAAGCCTCGCCTTACCCAGCAGCCCCCCGAAGGTGATGGCAGGAGACAGGGCCGCGAAGTAGATGAAGATGACGGCGGCCAGGCACTGGGGGTCGAGCGCATCCCGGAAGTCACTCAGGTAGTGGGGATAGCGGCGCCGCACATCCCGGATCAGCCCCCCGAAGGGCCGGCCCGTCCGCCGAAGGGGATCGTCTTCCACTGCGCTGGCCACCTCTACCATCTGCAGGAGCGCTGCAACCCAGGCCTCCATCAGGGCGCCCGCCGCAGCCCCCGCCCACCCCGCGCCCCTCCACAGACACGCGGCCGCCCCGGCCCCTGCCGCCCGCAGCCCGGGGCTGCACTGGCCCGTACCCTTATCTTGGGCCGACTTGGGCTCCAGCCCAGCCCCCGCGGGCAACAGCCGGCCCTGCTCCTCCCGCTTCTTGAGCATCTGGCGCTGGAAGTGAGCGACGGAACGCAGCAGCTCCTCGCCCTGCACTTCCGAGGGCGGCAGCACCACGCTGCAGTCCAGGAAGGCGTTGATGGCGGTCAGCAGGTCCTCCCGCTCATCTGCCAGGTAGGCCGCCTCGTGGAATTGCTGCCAAAGCAGGACTGGGGCTGGTGAGGGCACAGGGCAGAGGCGGGGGACCTGCGGCAGAGCCGGGACAGAGGGGTGGGGGCGCCCCGGGTGGGCTCCGGGGCGGGGCTGACCTTGTCGGACATGAGGGTGGAGATGGAGCGGCCGATCTCGTGGTAGTCCATGTTGGCGCTGCTCGGGCCCAGTAACAGGAAGAGGAAGCGCACAGGCACGGGCACCTCCAGCACCGCGTCCAGCTCCACCGCCTCCCGCAGCCGCACGAAGGCCATGGTGGGCCGGGAGAGGAACTCCACGCAGCCTGGGGGCGTGGGGCCGTTGTGGGCAAGAGCGGGGCGCACACCACCTCCCAGCCCCCAGCCCTGGGGTGACACTGAGGCCAGCCGGCCACCGGGACCCCCGCCCCCAGGATTCACCCCACATACCCACGAGGACCACTGTGGCCTCGGCGTTCTCGGGGATCTTCTCCAGCAGCTTCAGCTCGTGCTTGGACTTGGAGCGAGTGATGCCGGCCGGTGGCACCGGAGGCGGCAGCTCGCGCTGGGGGTGCAGGAGAACGGAGCTCAGGCTGGCCTCGCAGCACCGCGGCCAGCGCTGCTGGCGGGCACCCTACCCAGGCAGGGCCCCCTGCTCCCCTCACCTCTCGCTCCACCTCCAGCCGAGTCTCGGGAACACCTCCGATGAGAGGCTCGGTGACGTGGGGGTCGCTCTCGGCCCCCTGCCCGTGGTGATGCCCCAGCAGGGAGCCCAGGGAGCCAGCAGAGATGTTTCGGGGGAAGGAGAACTCCTTCTCATCACTCGGGTGGCTGGTGGGGCAGAGAACGGTGAGGTAAGGAGGGGGATGGCTGGGGCTGGGGGCCAAGGTGCAGTGGGCGAGGCCTCACCTGTGTTTCAGCAGCAGGGCCCGCAGCACGTTGGCTCTGTCCTCGGCCTTGATCTGGTCAGAGATGACCATCTGCTCCACCACCTGGTGGGCCACTCCAGGCAGGGTCTGCTGGTCCAGGTCCAAGAGCACGGCCCCTGGAAGGACAGCATGGGGGGTCCTCATCCCCAGCCAAGAAAGTGCAGGGCCAGAGGGAGAGCCAGGTATAAGGGGGCAGTCAGCTAAGCATGGTTCAGGGAACAGTGAGCAGGGCCTGAGCCCCATCGCCTCTCTGACCTGTTCCTTCCCGTCTCTTCTCCCCACAGGAAATGCTGTGGGGCTCGGCAGAGGCTTCGGAGCCCCAGCCATCAGCGAGGCCACCTGGGCCGGGCCCTGCCTGGCCACCCGCTCCAGGGAACACACAGCCTCCGCTGCGGGCTCCGGGCTGGCCCACTCCGCGGCGTCAGAAAGCTCCCCTTGGGAAGCCAACGCTGCCATCCCTGACACAGACTCTGCGGTCCGATCTCTGCCCTCTGGAGCACCGCACAGCCGGCCTGGGGCCTTGTCCACATGGCAGCCTGGAGCCATCCGAAGACATCCCCTCTACCCAGCTCAACTCCCCCACATCCAGCAGCTGCT